GTCTGTCCTCTAGAAGTAAAATAAGGACCCTCACTCAGCTCACCTACAAAATTTAAAAACAAACTTTTAAATAAAAAAACCCAACCACATTCTCTCTGGTAAGAATCTTCTGAGTGTCTTGAGCGACTCAGAAGAAATTCAAGATATAGAAATAAAAATAACAGTGGTCCCACACCTTTGTAAACAGACTACTGGATAAACCCAGCCAGTGCCCAGCCTTCCTCCAGCCCCAAACCATGCAACCCTCCACCGGCTGACCTCACCTCAAATCTAGAATTTTCTTAGGGAATGCAGTGGTGGGGAGGAAGGTCAAAACCTGGTGATTTCCTAATACACAAGCTGCCTTTTTGTAAAAATATGCCAATGTTTCCGAGAAATATTTGGGATGGCAAAGTAAAGTTCTGCCAATTCGGTGTCATGATTCTTGCTTTATTTTCTCCCTTAATTTTGAGATGATTTATTAAATAGATATTAGGAATTTGGGAGAAATAGCTTTTCTCACCAAGACCTCTTTGTGTTTCTTGGACTAAGAGCAGATTCTTTCGCAAGGACATCAAACCTATGAGCTGGGAAAAACCTCAGTGTTCATTGGCTCGGTCACCCATGCAGCCTGATGGCTGGGTAAATACCCAATAGGAGCATCCCATGACACACATCACCCACGGCTCACCTTCTCCAGCGTGTCATTCAGAGCATCCATCATCTGTATTTTGGCAACATTTGCAATGACACTGCAAAGATAAAAAGGAACTTCATGTAGGACCTGAAAACTTTCCCACTGCAGAGGCTAAATGATTTCTATAGAGGGCAGTCTGCTTGGCTTTTAAGCTTTCACTCTGCTTGGCTACACCTAGAAGACAAAAAATCCTGCCTCTGTGTACCCATCTGCTACAACAAGTTTTGTAGGACAACTTATTGTTATTACTGCTTTTTAAACTTTTCTTTCTTTCTTTCTTTCTTTNTGGCAGTGGCATCTGGCAACTTGAAAAGTGGCCCCAGCTTTAACTAGGCTTCAACATTCCAACCCCCTCCACACCATAACCCAACCCTGTTACTAATGTTTTAACTGGGTGCTTTTATGTTCGGAGAAGCGTCACAACTATTGCCAAATTTAACTTCCATAACCTTCCAGAGAATTAATATGTTTGGCAGTATCATTCTCACTCCCTGCCTTAAAAAAAAATTAAGTAAATGAGCAACCATAAATCTCAGAGGAGCTACGTGACTTCTCAAAGGTCAAACAACCTCTAAGAAGTAGGTGGAATTTGGTCGAAGACCAGGTGTCCCAGATTTTTAGCCTAGGGTTTCTGGGCTACACAACCCCTTTTCTGCCAGGAATGCCATATCCTGTAGCCTGTCACTGGGCAACATCAATTCTCTCATCATTTAGGGCTGGAAGAGGTAGGAAGGGCTGGCTGGAGAGGTAGGGAGGGAAGGAGAAAGGCAGTGAGGAGAGAGGTCTGTAGGAAATAGTGGATGGGAAATTTTAGGCTGTTTCCCACTTAGATTTGCACAATTCCAACCTTTTGGGGATTGTTTTTCAGTCTCCCAAATCTTTTTTTTTGGTCAAATTTTTTTGGGGAATTGGGGGAAGGGAACAACGTTGGGGAATCGGAGAAGGGGAACAGACAAGTTGCTGTCCTTTTGTCTTTCAGTCTAGTTGTGGAGGGCGTCGTTTCACTGGCCCATGTTGGTATTATGATCACTGCGCTCTTGCTGGCTGAGGCAGATGGGTCACTGGCCATTGGATCGTTGCTCACGCTGGCTGCCTGCCACTCACAGTAGTTCATGACAGCCCACTGCAGCCTCACTGCAGCCTTTGCCGTTGCCGGCAACTCATGGCAGCCCAGCTCCAGGTCAAGCTGTTGTTCACCATCTTAGCTGTAGAGGGTGCAGCATCACTGGCCCACGTGGGATCTGAACCGGTGGCCCTGCTGCTCAGAGCTCATGCTCCCAAGTGAACTCTTAACCAACAAGCCACTCGGTCAGCCCCAGTCTCCCAAATCTTAAACCTTAGGTGGTTGGTTTTAAAGTATGGTATTCAGAGATGAATAGCATATGGACAGAAATTTCCTGCCATGATTAAATTGTTGTTGAGATCCTATGAATCGGGCTGTACTCTCACTGCTTTAGACTCTAAGTTCTTCAAATGGTATGAGAATAAGCATGGGTTCTTAGAGCTAGACATAATTCTAGCTGAAGGCATGAATGAATGTGAATAAATGCAGAGGATGTGACCTTCATTTCTGCTATTTTATTGTATTTCTTCTGGCCAATTGTATATTGTTAGGTCTTCATGACAATATATTTGGTGTGTGTGTGTGGGGGGGAATCATCGTATTGCTTGTGAAAATTTATCAGCAGCTATCAATATGTATATCTCTATATCTTTCATGTCTTTTAATTTTTTGTATAAAGCTTTATAATTTATGTATGTTTTCATTTAAAATAATTAAGATATAATTTATTCACAGTAAAACATACCCTTATGCAGTTTTATGGGTTTTCACAAGTACCTATAGTTTGTGGTTGCCACCATAACCAAGATATAGAACCATTCCATCACCCCCCAAAATTCTTTCCTTTCACCTTCCACTTTGTGGTCAACACCTCCACCCACTCCCAGCTCCAGACAATCACTGAAATCAGCCAATCTATTTTTTAAAAGGCATTGGCCTTTCCATCCCAGGTTGACCTTTATTATGAAATCCTATTACACTTCAGGTTGAATTATGGATTCAGGGAGGACTTTTTCTTAGCTATAAGGAAATACATGGATTCCTACCAACTTCCATATTTAAGATACGAGTAGTCACTTATGGTAATTT